CCCTTATTGTATCCAAGCACTCAATTGTCCGGATGTATGTATGTGTGTGTGTGTGTGGATCCCTTTTTTGTTTAGAAGATAACTTTAACAGGTTTTAATGGATTTAGATAAAATTTAGTAGGCTCATTTATCATATTAATATCTGAAATCTGACCAAAGGATTTTGAAAAATACTCCAAAAAAAAAAAATTTATGGTCTTTTTTCCAAAAATTTTTTTTTAATCGAAAAAATTTTTAAATGGAAAAATTTAAGGTTATATATAATAAAATCGTATTCTTTACGTCAAGACGAATCGATCGATATATATAAAGTATTCATTTGAGGTAAATTTAAAGAATTAATAAAAGTTAAAAAATCAAAAATTCACATTTTGGTTATAAAATTTTGTGATTTTTTAAATTGAAGTTTATATATGAAATAATTGTATTCCTTACGTCAAGACGAATCGATCGATATATAAAGTATACATTTGAGGTAAATTTAAAGAATTAATGAAAGTTAAAAAATCAAAAATTCACATTTTGTCAATAAAATTTTGCTTTCTCCACGAGGAAGCAAATTTTTTTGCTGATCGTAAAGAGGAAGCAAAATGTTCATGTAATGAACATCTGAATTTACAACTTGTTTTATTTGTGTCTAGATGCATCATCGACTTACAGTGGGTTAAATATTTTTCTTGTCAAAGTCTTATTAATTGTTTACTGTGCTGCCATCGAGCGTTCACCGGTGTAACCTGTAACTTGCTGTCGATAAACATTGTCCAATACACACAAAAAGTATACCATAAACTCATTAATTTTTACTATTTATTACCCTTTCAAATGCTTTAAAATAATAAATTAATACTTTTTCACTGTTTTTCTATTATTAAAAAATCATATCTAAAACATTTTTCATTGAATTATATAAAAATTTGACAGAATACCCTAATATAACAGTGCTCCATATTTTATCTTTTATTTCACTTATTATTGAAAGGGTATCTATGTGTGTGAGGTGTGTTATGGAAGGGGAGCCGAAGGGAAAGGGAATGAGAGAGATTAGGAGAGAGACTTATCAGTTTTGTCGCCGGTTGTACTCGATTAAAGTATCAATTATAAAACTTATTTTAAATTTACGATTTTTCGAGTGAATATGTTGATTTCAACAATTTAATTTGTCGTTCCCAGCTGTCAAATGTGCCAGCGAGGCCTTCAAACATGCTGAGAAGCTCGCCCAGAGCATTGATCCCCACTCTTTGAATTCCAAGACTAGTTACACTCGAAGATCGGCTACCCAAACCTCGTCGTACAAATTCGGGTTGTCTCCTTAATTCCAACAGTCGATGAGTGTCCTCGTCTCTTCTTCTCTCTTCTACTTCAAATGTGGCGGCATCTGAGCTCACGCTGTTGACAGGCTCTGTACTTGAACCATGAGTCAACGCTTCCAACTCCTTTTTCGCGGCTTCCAACTGGAGCTTCAATGCTTCTCTTTCAGCTCGAATTTTTTGCATCCTCTCCGAATTTTATAATGTAGCTCTTCTATGACTTATTCTTTTAAACTCCTCTATTTCTTTATTCGCTACTTCGAGTTGTTGTAAGAGTGCTTCATTTTGTAAACTCTCCGTCATCAAATTATTCTCGAATTCCTCCAGGTCTCTAGGGGTTTGCTTATCTACACGTGGGGGAATCTTCTTACATTCGGGATCCAACTCCAAAATTCTGGCTACCAATTCCGCTTTATTCCCAGACGTAGAAGCTCCCAGCAACCTGAGGATGTCCTTCAATTCCACACAGGAATATTCATTTAAATTTGGAGCCATCTTGTTTGCTACGATCGCGTGTCACCACAATTTAAACTGCGATCTTTCCAACTAAACTAAACGCGATAGGTCCTCAATGAGTATGTCTCACAATTACAAAAGGCCTGGTCGTCACTCGGTATCACCAACTATTTTCATTTCACTCAAATCTAGTTTTTTCACCACACAGAATATTCACAATGACTAGGCGACGCGACGCTTATCATACACAATGGCGGTCACTTTTCCGCGTTTTAATAAAAGCGTACACGATAGCTCTAATCCCACTTCTGAAAACTGTAATGGATTGTCAGGAGTCCACAAAAGAAAAATAAAACAATTAACCACTTGAATTTAAGGAAATATGGATGATGTTACTAGGGTACTCATTAGTTCCAAGTTAAAAGGAAAGACTCTAAACTGTTGCCACTCACGAGCGGAACATATCGAGATGAGTACAGACCAACTTCTGGATGAGATGCGCAAAATGTTCCAGCAACGACCGAATAAACTTCAATTGAAGAGACAATTTGAGGAGAGGCAGTGGAAGAGAGGGAAGTCCTTCAGTGAGTACGTCCACGATAAGACAATCCTGGCAAACCAAGTACCGATTCCTGATGACGAGAGGATTGCATATTTGGTGGACGGTATTCCGGATGTCAACCTAAAAAATCAAGCACGCATTCAGCAGTTTGTCAGTGTGGATTCTCTTTTACATGCATTTGAAGAGATTGTTCTCCAACCAAAGCAACAAAATGCAGAGGGAGAAAAAATATCGAAAGTGGTGAAAGAAGAATTAAAGACAACATCGGGTCACTCAAATACCAAATGTTACAATTGTGGCAAGTGGGGTCACATGTCTACTGAGTGTAAAGAGAAGCCGAGGAAAAAGGGGTCATGTTTTAAGTGTGGGTCTGATCAGCACATTATTAAAGACTGTCCTCCGAGAAAAGATCCACAATCGGGATCACGATCCGAAAAGGCTTACGTTGATCAGCAACCAATGGAAGATGAGTTCTTGGTAATAGCTAACTATGACATCGACGTGGAAGGGGAAACATTCAGCATGGAATTGGATACGCGACTGGACAGCGGCAGTCCGATTACTTTCATCAAACAACGGTTTGTTAATCAAGACGTCATGAAGGTTGTAAATACTAATTGTCTAAATTTTTTGGGAATTAATAATTCCAAATTAAAAATTTGGGGAATTGTTGATGCAAAAGTAAAATTAAAAGGGGTTGAGCGAGATCTGAAACTGTATGTTGTTGACGATGACACTATGCAAGCATCAGTTGTTATGGGCCGGGATGCCTTGAAAAAATTTGGATTACGATTCTCAGAAATTTCAGAAAGTTTAGAAGAGGCAACTAGAGAAATTTTAAATATTGAAATTGATGCAAAAATTGATAGTGTAGATTGTCTCAACGTTGGCGAAGGAATTTCGATAGAAAATTATGAGCGTTTGAAGTCTATTTTTAGGGAACATTATGAGACTCCTGAGAGGCCCGAAAAACCGAAGGTAGATGCGATTATGAAGTTACTTTTGAAGGAAGACAGGTTTCCAGGTATCGCAACGAAAGTTCGAAGGGGTATGGGAGCCCCTCAATATGCGAATGTGGAGAACGGTTTTGTAAATGTCACCTTTTATGTTGTCTTTGTTGGTTTTTAAAAGAAAAAAAAAATGTTGACATGTATTTTAATGACTTTAAAATTTTGTAGTAATTTGGAAATAAAATGTAATTTTATATCTCATAGAATTTTAAAGAGGAAAAGACTGAAAATAAAAATTGCGGAATTCGAGTATGTTAATAGAATACGTTTATAAGAATTTACATCGAATCCCACTTCAAATCATGTCTCAATTTCTTATATGATTTTTCATAAGATCCTACATAGTTTCTTACATGACACACAGGATTTTATGTGGATTTTAATATATGAATTTATGTGAGATCCTATATAAGATCCTACATGAGAATTTTTAGTAGGGACTTCCCTTATAACGTTTTGTTGAAACCTTTAACGAATGTTATGAATTACATTTTATATTTTATGATTATTGTACTCTAAATTCTATCTTTTTCCTAAATGTGAGTTTTGGCGATTTTTAAAGACTAAGTGTTTTATTTTATGACAAGAGTAATTTGTATTCTTTAAATTCTTCGAATAGTTCGATCTTACCTTCCTTTTAGAATTAGTTATTTTTATATCTGTAGTACAAATCAATAAAATTTACAACTACTTATCGAGAGATCAAACTACCTGAATTCAGCCCTGCCGTTAAGGGATTATGTTGTAAAAATATACAATGCAACGGAGAAATCTGTAATTCGCATGTTTAAATACCAAAATTGTACCTCCATCTTGTTTTTACTCCCACTATTTTTGTTACCCCCACCTTTTATTTTTGTGTCTTCGACGCTCTTGTATAACTGACAAAAACCAGAATACTAATGACAGTCCTAGCCTAAGGACCTCTCAAAATAAATGTATTAAGTTGAATTTGCCTATTTAATTGCCAACCTAGTCGGTCTTAATACTATGAACTTTTCAAATTAACGTGTCGGTTTGATAAGTTCAGTGTAGCGTACAACACTCGAGAACGAAAAAATCGAGTTTCAATTAAAAAAGTTGTACCGGTCACAACACGTTTTGTTAAATTGGAAATATAATTTCCTAATAAATTAGTAAATAATAATAAATGTGTTATGAAAGACAAAAATAGTCCGTTTTTAGTAATAATAGTAATAGTAATAGTAAATAATAATAATAATAATAATAATTTGAAAATTTATTTTTTTGTTGTGATTTTTAAATTATACATTACAATTAAAACCTTTAAAAACGTGTAATGTAGCACCTGTGCGCAAACGTGAGCTTGGTGATTATGCGCTTGGGAGACCAGAGTAACATATATCGCCTTTCACCGTCGTCGTTTTCTTAGAAAAACGATAAAATAGAAAGTTAATGTAAAAATGTAAATAGTGTAGTGTAAATATGGGTATATCTGGACAAGAAACAACTATTTTGTATTGTCAAAGGAAATAATATTTTATTCTATTGTAACTTACAAATAGAATTTTTTTATTTTTCGGGTACATAAAGGTTCGGGAAAAGGATTTCGGGAAATTCAACATCGGAAATTTGGGTTTTCGGAAGGGCATCTTTCGGAAATCTGGAGTCCACATGATGCATATTTATTCATTAAGATTTAAATTTATAAAAACAATTAATTTAATTGCTATAATTTACAGTAAAAACATATACATCTGAAAATTATAAAAAAAAATTACAATAAACTTATTTTTTTAATTAGTGTAAATATTGTTTTCTTCTTTATTCGAAAGATAAAACTTGGACAGCTTCAGTTGAGTAATAATTAGTGGAATTCTCCAAGACTGCGTGTCACAGACTAAAAGAAATGTCAATGGTTATTATATAATCTAAAAAAGATGGCGAGATATAGCAGCAAAAAAAATGAATTAGCAGTTTGAAACAATCTTTTATAACGAAATTTCTTCAGTCGCATTTTTGAGAAGTTACTTGTTATGCAATAACATAGTTTTATAACAAAAAGATTTATTTATGTTCGTTGGCTTTAAACTATTTCTTTATTTTTGTCATTAAATTTTATTGTAATATGTATTGTAATATAATTCTTTAAATACATAAAAAATAATCCAAATGTTGGGATTTTTTAGTTCTTCCGTGTTATCCGAGTTTTCGATTATCCGAGGTACCCCTTCCCCATATTACCTCGGATAATCGAGGATCTACTGTACTTTTCTTCATTGCAATGAAAAATATGTGATACAAATAGTCAAATTTATATAAACATTTATTTGAAACAAATTATTATTATTTGAGTTATATATATATATATATATATATATATACATATTGATTTTAATTATTTTACAGAATGAAAATTTGAGTGTGATGAAGATTGATTATTACCAAAGATTGTCAACGAAAATAGTAAACAATGTTAATAATCAACAAAAAAAGTGGATAAAATAAATATATAACTTAGTGCAATTATTTGAAGTTTATAAGTTTACTCAACATAACCTGACCTAAAGTAAATCTAAAGTCTTATATGTTTGAAACCGAGTTGAAGTGTACAGTCGTGTTTTCCGCCTCTCCCCTATTTCTGTGTTCAGTTTAAAAGTTTTTGGATGTTCTATATTGTGAGAGATAAAACTCTCATTTACTTGGTTTTGTGTGAAAATTTTTTTATCAATGTGTTCGATAATCTCTATGTAATCAGTATAAATAATAGGTTAACATGTGCACGCTAGCATTTTAACCTTATTTTTCAAGTTTGAAGGTTCAAAAGTATAAGCCTTTCTTAAATTAAAGAGAATTATTATTAATCAGAAATGGAAATCAATCTGATGGATTTGAAACTCAAATTATTGTGAACTGCCCGGACAGCACCGAAACTTTCCTGAACCTTGACTGAACCTCGCTTGACGAGGTTCGGGAACTTGAGTCGCGAGGTCCAAACGAGGTTGAGTTGATGTTTAAATGTCCGCGCATAATAAAGGTCAGTCACAGAGGTTGGCTGAATATTGAATTTGAATTTCTGTTAAATATTAAAATTAAAGATTCTTGGCATATTGTGAGGGGATATTTAAGGAAATTAAAAATTCAAGATTTGTTAAATGTAATCGTTAAATATTCTGGAAATTTAGAAGGAGCATAAATACGGAAAAATAAAAAGAATGCAAATGAATTTAAAAACTCAATGGGAAAAATTAATAATTAAATTAAAATAAAAAAATGGTCATCAAAGTATTAGTGAAACCATTTCTTCCAAAAAAGAATTTGTCTCAAATCCAATAAATAGGAGAGACATCGGGCAGAAAAAAAATTTTCGATCACTGCTTATATACCAATCTAATGGCACCTCAACTGCGAGAAACAGTTATGATGTTCGCCCTCCCTGTGGCGTTGAGCGAACTAAAGTCCAAAGCTGAGCCATCAGCGCAGCGCGGTAACATTTAAAAAATTTGATTTTATTAGATATTTTATTTTATTTTAAATATGACAAATAATTAACTTAATAAATAATTAATTTCATAAATAATTATTAATAACATAATGTCATACTTAATAATTCGTTAATTAATTATTTTTAACGAAAATTTGACAAAAAAAAATTTGTGGTCAAAAAAAATATTACCATTAAAAAATAATTTTTTTGTTAAATATTCGTAGTAAAAAAATTTTTTTCAAGACAATTATTTGTGGCCTAAAAAAATATCACGATGAGAAAATAATTAACAAAAAAACTTACTCGTAGCACAAAAAAAATTTCAACATGAGGAAATAATTTTTTAAAATTTTCTTTGTAAAAAAATTATTGGTAGCTCAAAAAAAATATCACGATGAGAAAATAATTTTTTGGCAAATTTTCTCTGTAAATAAATTCATTAACTAAATAACGTAATTATTAGTTACTTCATTTTTTTACTACGAAAATGTAACAAAAAAATATTTGTAGCACAAAAATAATATCAAGATGAGAAATTTAATCATTTTTAAATTTTCTCTGTAAAAAAATATTTTGTGGCCTAAAAAAATTATCACGATAAGAAAATAACTTTTTTGTCAAATTTTCTCTCCAAAAAAATTAATTAACTAAATACCGTAATAATTAGTTGATTTTTTTTACTACGAAAATTTACCAAAAATTTATTCGTAGCACAAAACAATATCACAATGAGAAAATAATTTTTTTGTCAAATTTTCGTTAAAAATAATTAATTAACGAATTATTAAGTATGCTCCTTCTAAATTTCCAGAATATTTAACGATTACATTTAACAAATCTTGAATTTTTAATTTCCTTAAATATCCCCTCACAGTATGCCAAGAATCTTTAATTTTAATATTTAACAGAAATTTAAATCTGTGACTGACCTTTATTATGCGCGGACATTTAAACATCAACTCAACCTCGTTTGGACCTCGCGACTCAAAGGTCCGTTAACCTGGCTTGTCCACATTGTCCGATCTGGATAGAACCTATTTGAAAATTAAGGGCTAATTTAATGCCCTAATGACGAATTTAATGCTCGGCATTTTCTTTAAAAAACTTGTGGACAAGCTAGCTTAACATTAAGGTGGCTTGCCCACACAATGAAGGAGCACTCGTAGAAAGGTCTATTATAGGTCAAAATTTAGGGCTTTTTTAAGGCTCCTCAATGCTCTATTGCCGAATTTTATGCCGGCATTATTTCGCGAATTATTTGCAAAAATTCAATTTTTACGTTATCTCAGTTTGTCCACATCATGAAGGAACACTCGTAGGAAGGTCTATTATAGGTCAAAATTTAGGGCTTTTTTAAGGCTCCTCAATGCTCTATTGCCGAATTTTATGCCGGCATTATTTCGCGAATTATTTGCAAAAATTCAAATTTAACGCTATATTAGTTTGTCCACACATTGAAGGAATACTTTTAGGAAGATCTTCTAGATGTCAAAATGTAGGTCTTATTTAAAACTCTTTAATGCTTTTATGCCAAATTTAACACTACCTTAGCAAGTCTGAAAAATTTTTTTAAAAAATAAGCACTTAAGAATTACTTGCTTATTTATTGCTCGTAAATAGCACTGTATTGTCTGTTTAAAAATGATCTACCAATCCTAAAAACTACCCCCGACTAGTTCAAAATTTTATTTTTGAATTTTTTTATAGAAAATAACGATTTTTTTATAAACAAATTATTTTTTCTAACTTTAGACCCGTTGTTTTACTTTTTTTATATTTACATACATGGAAATACTACTAAAATACTTTGCAAAATGTTTTACTGATAATCTGATTACCCTTTTTGGATGACTACTCGAAATTTTTTTTTGCAAAATATTCTTACTATTTTCAGGTATGTAAAAATAAAAAAAAGTAAAAATAATAGCTTTGACAGTTTAAAAAAAATAATTTGTTTATTAAAAATTGTTATTTTCGATATAAAAATGTAAAAGAAATTTTTGAACTACTGAGGCGAAGTTTTTGATGTTGGTGGATCGGTGCTCGTAAAGAGCCATAAATTATCCCTAAATTCCTAAGTACTTTTTCATGAAAAAATTGAGTTTGAAATACTCATGTATAGTTTTTAAAATTAGTGGATCACTTTTGAACATTTATTTAGTTCTATTTAAGAGCCTTATATTAACCTTAATTTCTAAGTACTTGTTTTTTGAAAAAATTGAGTTAGAACTACCCAGGAGTAGTTTTTGAAGTTAGTGGATCATTTTCGAACATTTAATTTAGTTCTATTTAAGAGCCTTAAATTAGCCCTAAATTCATAAGTACTTGTTTTTGGAAAACATTGTGTTTGAACTAATTATGTGTAGTTTTTAAAATTGGTGGATCAATTTTGAACATCCAATTTAGTGCTATTTATGAGCCCCAAATTCTTTAGTACTTTTTTTTGAAAAAATTGAGTTGATTCTACTCAGGGGTAGTTTTTGAAATTGGTGGATCATTTTTGAACATCTAATTAAGTGCTTTTTAAGAACTCTAAATGTGTATGTGTTTGTTTTTTGAAAATATTAAGTTTGAATTATTTGAGGGTAGGTTTTGTGTTTGGTTTTCTATCAGTTACATGGTTGGGGTGCTTGGGAGTGCATTTTTAAAAAGTCAATTTTGTGCTATTGAAGAACACTAATTTAGCTCCTAAGTCCTATATGATTATTGTTTGGTTAAATCAAGTTTTAATAATTGGAGATGTTTTTTTGAACTTAGGGGTGGTTTTTGAAAAATTTAAATAGTCTTAGTTGAGAACCCTACTCTCTAAATCTGAATTAGTAGTTTTCTACTAATTAAAGAGTGCGTATTCGTTTACCAATTGAATTAGTAACAGTTTTGACTAATTTTTAGTAAAAAAAACTACTAATTCATGGAGTAAATCGGCTTACTAATTTAAAAAAGTAAAAAATACGACTTACTCCATAAATTAGTAGTTTTCTACTAGCAATTAGTAGTTTTTTTACTACAAATTAGTCAAAACTGTTACTAATTCAATTAGTAAACGAATACGCACTCTTTCATCAGTAGAAAACTACTAATTCAGATCCAGCTTGACGTCAAGTTAAATGTTAGCATATATAAAAACTTTTTTCGTGGAAGTGGTATTTCTAGGATTAACGACCTTTTTGGCTAGACTTTTCAGACGAGCGACGCTATTTAGGGTCTGACTAGTGGCTGAGTAGCAGCAGAAATGGGCAAGCTTATCAAGTAAAAGTTAAATTTTTGCAAATATTTCGCGAAATTATGCCGGCATTAAATTCGGCAATAAAGCATTGCGGAGCCTTAAAAAAGCCCTAAATTTTGATCCATAGTAGAGCTTCCTATGAGTGCTCCTTCATTGTGTGGACAAACTGAGATAACGTAAAAATTGA